GGGGAAAAAAAAAAAAAAAAAAAAAAAAAAAAAAAAACACTTCAGAGGCATGTAAGAAAAAACCTAGGAGATTCATCTTTTTGTGTACATGAAATCCAGAAAGCAATTTAGGAAATTATGAGAAAAATCAGAGCAAGTAACTCAAGGGTGTCAGAAATGAGAAAAAGAAACATACAGTTCAGCCTGTCTGACCACAGAACTGGAAATACCTCTAATAAGGAAACTAGAAATGGACCTCTCATCTAGAAACTACAGATATCCCATAACAAGGCTCCCCAAACAAAAAATCATACACTCCAGTCCTCTCCAGAGGACAGGCACATCCTGTTAGCATGAAGAGGCAGTCCTCACAGTGTAAGGACTAGCAACCTACTTGCTGTGTAGATGAAAGGCAGGAGAATGTGAGAGTAAAGCTACATCTGTAGACAACCTAAGTAAAACATGGGATGAAACATGAATGCAATAAGCCATATGCCTTAAAATTGAGAAGTGTTTTGTTTTTTTACAGTGACACTTGGCTTACACATAAATAATTTTATAAGTTTATTGTCTTTTAGATCCATTTACAGATCCATAGTTAGAATACAGGAAAAGAAACTTCTGCAAGTAAAACATGTTGGGAACTCTAATCACCAAGGTAGGCACCTCTACACCATCTAAAGATAATAACCTGAGAACAGTTTTTCTATGAAGTAACTACAAGTAACAATCATAGGGATAGCCATAATAATAACCTTCACAAATTAAAATAATCTTATTGCATATCTAGGTACAAACTGAGGAACATCAGAAGATCTTGAAAAGTGATACCACATTGAACTTAACGATGCAGATGAAAGAATTCCAACTACCCACATTAAATAAACATAGTTTTCTGTGCTCAAAAATATAGAACATAATTTTGGTAAACTGATTCCTGAGCTCATCTCCCACATTAGAAGATAATGATTATAATGAGTGTGACCCTAATCAATATTTTACACCTGAATGCTTTTTATTGTAAAGCATGAGCCATTGCATATAATTACAGTTAATAGCTAAATGGAAATTATAACACAGATAAAAGTTTATGATATAAGAGAACAAAATATTGTGTAAATAAAAAACAAAAACATATTTTACTAAAAGTTTTTGACTCGTGTTTACATGCAGAGCACTTCTGTTAAACGGTGCTCAATTTACATTATATGGAGTGTTCTGAAACTAGACATGTTAAAAACTTTTCAGCTATGACATAAATATTCAATGTATTAATTCATTGATTTCCTAAACAGCCAAAAAATTCTGTTAAGTGTCCTTGTTTTAAACACAGAGCTATTAAAACACCAAGAACTTAAAAGACTTGACTTTGGACGTCATGTTATCCCCTGAGCCAAAAGTAGAATTCCTCTCTTCTGAATTGCCAGCTTTAATAAACAGATTTAATAATATACAGGCCTAAGAGCAATCTTATGTTGCAAGGAAGGAGAAGGATTAGGTCTTTGGCTCATTTAAAGCACAAAACCATCAAAAAGAATACCCAGATCAAAGGGCCACAAGCCTAAGAAAGCTTAAGGACTATGGAATTGTTTTCTCCAATCAAAGAAGACAGCAAGAAAGATATGGCAACAGTTATAAAAGGTCTCACCATGAACATTTTTTTAACAGTCCACTTGAAACTTCAAAGCATGTCAAGGCACCTGTTACTGCAATAATCTAGCACTGTAACGGACTTAATGCAGAAGAAAGATCTTCCAACTTCTTTGTTAAATAAACATGTCCTAAGCTGATTTTTTTTTTTTCTGAAAGCCTACAGTCCTAACATAAAATTCAATAAAATCAAGTTTTTAGGCCTTATTCAAGAGTCCAACAGAGTCAACTTGAAGTATCACCTTATAGAGGACAGATTAAGGTCCTGACACAATCTCAGTTGTTTTGTCATTACTCCAAGCACAGAAGAAACCACATCTCCAAACCATTTCCCAAAAGCAGGAGTGTTCACATGGATAATAATCTGAGCTGCAATTTTCCAAATATCGTGGAAGTGTTTTTAATTCTGGAATACATATACCAGGTTTTTTTCTGATAAAGAAAAACTATCTGCATTGTGCTAAATAGGCTTTTTGCCTGAAAAGACAGAGAGGAAGGTTCATTTGCACATTTTAACATAAAATGGAAATAAAAAATATTTCTAATTCTTAATTCTTTTGCTGGAAAAGACAAAGACCATCAAGTCCAAACGCTAACCTAACACTGCCAAATCCACCACTAAAACATGTCCCTAAGAACCACATCTACAAGTCTTTTAAATACCTTCAGGAATGGTGACTCATCCACCTCCCTGGGCAGGCTGTTCCAGTGCCTGACAACACTTTCAGTGAAGAAATTTTTCCTATTATCCAATCTAAACCTCGCCTGACACAACTTGAGGCCATTTCCACTTCTTCTATTGCTTGTTACTTCTGAGAAGAGACCAACACATACACCCACCTACAGTTTTACAAATTAAACATATCTTTTTCTGTTAAGCCTAAGCCCTGTTTAAGACATGGGTGACATTTTGTGTCAAAGGCAAACGAATTTCAAGATTTGACTTCAATACCCAAAAAGGAACTTGAGGCATGCACACTAGAACCTTTGGAAAACTCATGTAATTTTCTGCAAAGGCTAGTGATTCCACCAAGTTCAGTTCTTAACAGAAATTTATTTAACTTCTGTAATTTCAAAATAACGCACTTCTGCTTATAATTTAACTCACTCCCACAAATCAAGTACTCTCTTGTATACTGGAAGCTGGTATTGCCTACCAACTCTGTACCTTAGCACTAACTGTCTTTTTTAACAGGAATTTTTTTTAATGACATTGACCTTTATCGGTTTTTTAATAGATGTTTTCAGGAATGAAATGTACCATGGTGGACAAGTCTTTCAGGACTGTCTTCTGGGACATGTGCTTTGGAGCCTCTAGAGTAAGTAAGAATGCATCTTAGTCCAGGTAGTAGAAACATATTTCATTTCAAAGATTCTGCACCATGTAACAGAGAAAAAAGCATGACAGATGAAGTACATTGACCTTGGATGGAAAAGTCCATCCAAGTAACACTCAAAAGCAAGGATTTTCCTAGAACTTTTATCACCTGTTGGACTCCTTACTAACTACACCTTAATTCATAAAATGGACATACACTAGAACTAGCTGGATGTTAATACTGAAATCATCACAGGCTAGACAGACTCATTTAAGAATCCTTCCAAATTCAGTAATACATACCACAGTATCATGCATAGCCAACTAGTTAAGAGTATCACAAACAGACCTAGCAGGAAGATAATCCTAGTCTAACATGAAAAGACAGGCATGCTGGAGACAGTCAAACTTACTGCACTATACTGGTGCTTGGAGAATAAGTCACTGGACTTAAGTCAGTATTACAGAAAATCCAGTTTTTTCCATCTATGGGTAGAAAAGAGTTTGGATTTTGTATAGCACTAAATGGGTGTTAAATGCTGCGCTAGAGGGTTTAGTAAAGAGAAGTCATATAACAGAGAATGACATGGCCCAAAACTGACTGAATTATGAAGCAACTAAATTTGCAGACAAACGGAGACACTCATTAACTACATACTAAATATTAAAGAGTCCTCTTTACATCTGGGGCAACTGTTACCAGCAAGAAGCCTCATATGGAATTTTTATTTGGCCAAATTGCAACAACTTACAGAGCAGGTTATCAGATTTTCCATTAAATGAATACTCTAAAGACAGTCTAAGTTATTTTACTTATTGCATAAAAAATGCTGAGGAACAGCAATTAAATTTCTAGCCTCTGAATCACTTTCTTGTCAATAAACATCACAGAAGGATAGTGCTTTAAGGTCTCAGGTGAGCTTGCTTCCTATTTCAAGGAGGCGTAAGATGACGAACTTGTAATGAATAGCTCAGGAATAAATCCAGCTTACTAACAAATAAAACTTTCCTAAGCAATTAAGAAAGTGGAGATCTAATCAAGCTACACAGCTTTGCATCCTCCCCTTTGCTTTGGAGAAATGTGATAAAAGGTAAGTTATATGACTGAATACTGCCTGTACAGTCTGACACAGCCTTTGTTGGACACTAAGCAAATTATTAAATCCAGGATTCAATGTTGCCCAAACCCGTATTTTGCATTTCTAGACTGTTTGTCCTAAGAAACAGAAACTCGGTCTATAGAAGTACTAAACACTCACAGACAAGTTAGTGTGAGAGGCTACGAACATAATGCTAATAATGCATTTTACTATATAATGCTAAGAATTCTGAAACAGTGGTAGTTTAGTGGCCCATACTGGGTATTCAAAACTAATAGAGGACTTTGACCATAATCTTCCTGTGCCTAGTTTCCCATCTGCAAAATACAGATAATACCATTCTCTCATCTCACAGGGGATTTATGAGGATGAATTCAGTCATGATTTTGAAGCATTCTGATAGTATAAACACCTTAAAAACATGAGGTAGCCAATAGCTCAGTCTTTGGAGCACAAAACCATAAGCAGTTACTAAGTTATGGGGAGATAAACAAAACATTGGGTTGGAAGGGACCTTGAAAGGTCATCTAGTCCAACCCCCCTGCAGTGAGCAGGGACCTCTTCAACTAGAGCAGGTTGGTCAGCACCTCATTCAACCTGACCCTGAATGTTTCCAGGGATGAGGCTTCTACCACCTCTGTGGGCAACATGTTCCAGTGTTTCATCAGCCTCATTGAAGAGCTGCTGATTAGACAAGCACTGAAGATCCTGTGCACTCAATGAAATGAGAGGTCATGTGGGAAAACTGGACAGGATCATGTAACTCAAGACTGTGATACAGGTTATAAGCACAGCGGAGTAAAATTAAAGTTGAATAAGTAACTCGTAACTCAGTAATTTAACCTTAAGAGTCATAATCTTCTTAACAGCTTTCATCTCCTCCAAACTATCAATATAAATTTACAAGCAAATACATCTACTTCTAAGTTTTCAAGAATACTTTTCAATTCTGCTGTACAGAGTAGGGTAAAGCCCCAGACACTCTGCTATTCTTAGTTCATTCAGCCTTTTTCTGTAACAAATTACTTCCAGCGTATCCTTAGTTCACCTTTTCAGAGAGTACTGCTTCCCCAAGGCCGCCTCAGGGTCCTGCTGACGGATTGCTCTAATTGCAGTTGGTGAAGTAAAGAAGGCAGCTACTTCATGCTCTGCTAGCACACGGAAATAGGCACCAGCATCTGGCGTTCCCACAGGCTTCCCCTATAGAGAGAATAATTTAAAATGTCACAGGATAAAAATACTTCATAATTCCTTAACAATTCAAGGCTTGAACACATAACAGTAGCAGTAGCACAGCAACCGAAGCAATTTCGAGTAAGACTTTAGAGAAGGCTTTGCTAAAAATCATAATACTGTAAACATACTCACTTGTAGAAATAAATTCACAAGCTGTGGACACAAATTCTTGAAAGAACACATCGCATACTAGTTGCTACTTAGAAAAATAGGACAAATGGACATGCAAAGAGCCACTGGCAGCAGAGGGAGTCATGCTTACATCTGCTGTTACTGTGAAGCAGCCTGTAAAACACCTGGAGTCCCACTAAACCAGGAGTCTCTGGACACAGTGGCATTGCAGCTATATCCCCATGCACAGGCCTGCAGGACACAACATCAGCTTTTTTCTTACATCAAAATTTCCTCCCAATTATGGAAGAATTCCCACTTAGCTCCTTACAACTGGATCCTTGGCACCTTTGTTCTGCTACCCAACATAAAGACTATGAAGGCTGGAAAGAAGACAAAGACCCCTCTTCTGGTTTAGTGTGCTACCAGACTGTGGTCTGGTTTGTGGTTGTTTTTTAAAAAAACCAAACGTTGTCTTGAACTAGGGGGCATAGCCAGGAGAATTATAAACAGAAGGAATCAGATGTGACATACTGTCACATACATACTACTGTAAGTAGTAATAACAAAAAATAATCAAAAACACATTTCTGTGGTGCTGTAAATATGAAAAGCAGTTAGCACCAGATCATACAATCACAATCTTACAGTATGCAATTACTGCAGTGCATTAACTGCTCCATACACACTCTGTAAGCTTTAGCTCTACAGGTATTACCATAACCTTTTCACTAAAAAGGCCACACTTGGCCACACTTTGACAAAGCACCACAAATTAGGAGAGATTCGCATTTTTCATACTGCAAATACAGCTTTAACAATACTTTGCACAAGAAGCCACAAACATATAGTTTCACTATTGAAATGTCACCATCTTTACAGCAGCTCACCAGTCACAAGAAAAATTCATACCTTCACCATGCTTGTGTAAAAGCAAATTTGAAATAGATTAATAGTTCGGGGGGGGGGGGAAGAAATCCCCAGCATATGAAACTCTAATACTTTCATTTTATCAAAATGCAAAAGAAGCACAGGTATTTGACTATCTTGAAGAATTTAATAAGTCCACTATTTTTACTCTAATCATAAGGCACTAGCAACACAGTAAATGTCTTTATGAAAACAAACCAATCAAGTTAGTTGTCCCGTCCCCAGATTAAAAAAAAGAGAACGCTAGCTGTGATGTAGGCTCGCAGGAATTCATCCCTTTCCCTCTTTCCCACCTGCTCTCCCCACTGCAACCTGCCCCACTGTTGCTGTGCATCCAGTTGTGCCTGAACACTGGCAAGAGAACCAACCAACCATTTGAAAGATTTAAATAATGCTGGATGCCTGAGGCTGGATGCCTACCATTGTCTTTGCAGCCCTGTGGTGAGACACTGCTGGTGAGAAGAGTGCTGCAGCAGCAGATCACCATAAAAGGACAAAAAAATCAAGGCAAAATAGAACACACAATCAAAAAGCCTTGATTTTTAAAGGATGAAGAGGTGGTGAGAGGCACATTGAGAAAAAATAAACAAAAGAAACAGTCCCCAGACAAAGCAGCAGGAAGAAGCACTGTCAGTGCCAAAAGTCTCTTTTTTGCTAACAGCCTATCCTAAATTACCAAAAAGAAATGCAAAAGAATGCTATTTATTTGTCAAAAAACGGTGTTATGTCTTTTTTTCTCTCATGTAATGCACAGTTCCTGAAAAAAAGGATTTTACCAGATGGTCTTTAAGCATCCTCCTTACACACTTCATGACTACTTTCATGTAATCATTCAAGTGTTAATCAATAGTTGTTTATGAACTTATTCAAGTCTGTGTCATCTCTCTATAATGTTCACTATATCTAAAGATCTGCCATCTGATTCAAGCCCACATCCCTAACCATCACTTTTAACTAATGGTCTCAGACCAAACATGTCTGTATTTCCATAAACTTCTCATTAATTAATTACATAACTGAACTAGCACCATTTGCAATCATCTTAGACAGCAACAAACCTAGCCATGCAGCAAGACTAGGTAGTCTGCCAGTAATCATGAAAGCTGTTGTTTTAAACCAAATTGAAATGTTCAGAGCCTATAAAAGGGCTGTGTCTGGCCCTTGAGCACACCCACTCCCTCCTAGGGGCTTGGCCACTGATGCTCAAGGCCAGGTTTGCCATGCTGCAGCATGCAGGTAGATGTTGTCTGCCTACACACTGCCAAGGCCTTTGACACCATCTCCCACAGCATTCTCCTGGAGAAGCTGGCAAATCATGGCATAGAAAAGTGTACTCTTCACTAGGTAAAAAAACTAGCTGGATGGCCAGGACCAGAGAGCTGTGGTAAACAGAGTCAAATGTAGTTAGTTGGTGGCTGGTCACCAGTGGTGTCCCTCAGGGCTGTTTTCAGGCCAGTCTTGTTCAGTATCTTTATAAAATATCTGGATGAGGGGATTGACTGTACCCTCAGTAAGTTTGCAGATGACACCAAATTGCATGGGAGTGTCAATCTGCTAGAGGGTAGGAAAGCTCTGTAGAGGAACCTGGACAGGCTGCATCGATGGACCAAGACCAATCGTATGAGGTTCAACAAGGCAAAGTGCCAGGCCCTGCATTTTGGTCACAACAACCCCATGAAATGCTATAGGATTGGGGTAGAGTGGCTGGAAAACTGCCCAGCAGAAAAGGACCTGAGGGTGCTGCTTGACAGCCGGATGAACATGAACCAGCAGTGTGCCCAGGCGGCCAAGAAGGCCAACAGCATCCTGGCCTGCATCAGGAACAGTGTGGCCATCAGGACCAGGGAGGTGATCCTGCTCCTATACTCAGCCCTGGTGAGGCCACACCTTGAGTACTGTGTTCAGCTCTGGGCCCCTCACTATAAAAAGGACATTGAGGTGGTGGAGCCTATCCAGAGGAGAGCTATCAAACTGATGAAGGGTCTAGAGAACAAGTCATACCAAGAGCAGCTGAGGGAACTGGGATTGCTTAGTTTGAAGAAGAGGAGGGTGAGGGGAGACCTCACTGCCCTCAACAAGTACCTGAGAGGAAGTTGTAGGGAAGTGTCTGTTGGCCTCTTCTCCCAAGTGAATAACAACAGGACCAGAGGAAATGGTCTTAAGCTGCAGCAGGGGAGGTTCAGATTGGATATTAGAAAGAATTCCTACACTGAAAGAGGGGTCAGGCACTGGAATAGTCAGCTCAGGGAGGTGGCTGAGGCTGTGGGTTTTTTTGCAGATGTTTTTTGGTGGAGTGTGTGTGGCTGGTTGTATTTGGTCGGAGGTTTGTTTGGACAGTTGTTGTTTTTTTGTGTTGACGGTTGGACTCAGTGATCTCAAAGGTCCTTTCCAACCATGATGATTCTGTGAAATCTTGGGTAAGACTACTGGGGAAATTGCAGAGTTGTGAGAAGAGCTGAAAGGAGCCTCTCCTTGCTCAGGATGTGATTTACACTGAGGCCCTCACCTGAGCTACCTCACAGCCCTGCCTGTGCTGTGCACCTCCAGCTATTCTGAGTCGGAGTGCATCTTCACACAAGCAGCTAAACCCTCACAAGTGCGTGCGTGGGCATGCAGGACTCTGACAGGTTGATATTTAAATGTCATAAGTAAGCTACAACAGCTTTGGTTTGGAGAAGCACCATTCTCAGATCTTGGAGAAAAACAAATTTAGCAATAGAAACGGCATAAGGAAAGGAATAGAAAGTTCCCCTGACAGTCAATAGGAAATAATACCCAAAGAATATAGCAACACTTAAAATATTAATTTAGGGAAAAAAATAACCTGGTCCAACTGTAATATATTCTTACTGATTCTGCAGAAAAACTTCTCTGATGCCTCGGCAGCCATTCGTAGTTTAGAAAAAGCATAAACAAAAACTGACATATGTGAAACAAATATGAGAGAGTGCTAATTAATTTTAGAGCCCAAAAAACTGCAAAGAAAATCACCAAAGAAAGTTCTCATTTATTATACAAAAATTTCAACAAGTATTGCAAAATGCCATTAGAGGCTTATTATTGCAAGGAATTTTGATTTTTAAAAAGGTATCAATGTAAACAATAAAGCAGAAGATAACTGAATTCAGACTATGCTGACAGACGGCTGAGTCAACTGGGGACTATGAGCAAATGAGATGCGTCTACTAGATTTCTGCAGGGATCAATTCAAGATCTGTTGCTTTTCAGTATTTGTATAAATATTGAAGATGAAAATTTATTTTAAAAGTTACTGGCAATTATATCCGTGGTTGCCAGGAACTGAGAGCACGGTAAACAAGAATAAGGCATTCAGAGAGTGATCTGCCTCATCTAATTAAAAAAAGTAGAAATAGACACTTGGAGAGGCTTGGAGGATTCAAGAAGGAAAGTCTATTATTAACTTACCAAGAGATTCTGAAGCAGACAGACAGATAGGAACATCTTTCTGGAAATACCTAGATTTAGCATGTAATTTATCATATGTCTACCAGCTGAGCAGATATCCTCAGGCAGAATGTGTTCATGGATAATACATGATTATGAAAGAAGATTCATAGTCAAGCAGCAAGAATGATCAAGGGGATAGAAAAGTTATCCTGGGGAGAAAGTCAGAAGCCACCAGGATGGATTACTGGAGGATAAAGACATTTTAGAGGAGCTTTAATAAAATAATCAACAACACATCCATAACAGCCCAGCAAGTCCCTTTTTGTCTGACCCCTAACAAGGGGCTGTTCCACTAGAGATAAATACAGAATTATGAGGAGGAAATTCTTTCTGCATAACAAGTATTATACATGGAATTCACTGTCACTAAAACCTCCTGACACCAAAGCACACACAAAATCCTGACACATCAGGATTCAAAAGGGTATGTTCATAGAGCCATTTGTCTTTCTGCT